AATTTAGAAATAACACAACTGCAATTTCAATTAGTCCCCACAACTGTCATTGGAAAATCTTAACTAGTTTTAACTAGTTCATGGCAAACAGCCTCCAACAGACTCCACCTTGTCAATGAGGCCAGACATGCACAGCCCTTTATATTAGCTAACTGCAAAGATCCCAGAGAATCTTTCACTGCTTTTCTTAGGTTTAAGTGCTGCTTCCATTTCTCTGATCCACCCATCTGCTTCAGTGAAGTAACAGTATTACAGTATAAAGGCATTTGACAAAGTGCCACATGAAAGACTTGCAAGAAAGATAGAAGGGAGAGTGGCAGCATGGATCCAGAACTGGTTGGAAGACAGAAAGCAGAGAGTGGTGGTGAACGGCTGCTTTTCTGACTGGAGGGAATTGTACAGTGGCGTCCCCCAGGGATCTGTATCAGCGCCTTGGGACGTCCTCCCGACATGAAAGGCGCTCAATAAATGGAATCTTGTTGTTGTTGTTGTTGTTGTATTAGGACCACTGCTCTTCTTAATATACATAAATTATCTGGACTTGGGTATAGCAAGCACCATTTCCAAGTTTGCGGACGACACAAGTTAGGTAGGGTAGTAAACAGTGAGGATAGTAGCCAACTGCAGGAAGACATAGACAGAATGGTAAAGTGGGCAGACACATGGCAGATGAGCTTCAATGTAGAGAAATGCGAACTAATGCATTTTGGTAGAAAGAATGAGGGGAGGCAATATAGGCTGGTAATACAATCTTAAGGGGGGTAAAAGAACAGAGAGACCTGGGGGTGCAGGTAAATGAATCCTTGAAGGTGGCAGGACAGGTAGATAAGGCTGTAAAAATGGCAAATGGGGTTCTAGGCTTTATAAATAGGGGCATAGAGTACAAGAGTCAGGAGGTTATGATTAACCTGTATAAAGCACTGGTTAGGCCTCAGTTAGAATACTGCGCCCAGTTCTGGGCACCACACTATAGGAAGGATGTTAAGGCATTGGAAAGAGTGCAGAGGAGATTTACGAGGATGGTACCAGGAATGAGGGACCTTGATTATGAGGAAAGGCTGGAGAGGTTAGGATTATTCTCATTGGAGCAGAGAAGGTTACGAGGAGACCTAATAGAGGTCTTCAAAATCATGAGGGGATTTGATAGGTTAGAAAGGGAAAAACTGTTTCCACTGGTGGGTGTGTCGGTGACTCGAGGTCACAGATTCAAAATAGTCTCTAAAAGAAGCAGAGGGGAGGTGAGAAGAAATGTTTTCACGCAGCGAGTTGTTCGAATCTGGAACGCGTTGCCTGAAAGGGTGGTGGAGGCCGATTCGATAACAACTTTTAAAAACGGGGTGGACGGGTATTTGAGGAGGACGGGTTTGCAGGGTTATGGGGAAAGGGCTGGGAAGTGGGATTGACATTAATTGCTCTATTCAAAGAGCCGGCACAAACTCGATGGGCCGAATGGCCTCTTTTTGTGCTGTACAATTCTATGATTCTATGATATTTTAACAGGTACGGAAAGCTTCACACTTCATTCTACCTTAACTATTAGATCAGGCTCAGTGTTGTGTCTCTATGAAACTCTACTCATCACTCATAGCATCCTAATCAATCTACAGCATCAAGCGCAATTTGCCCCCTGTTCATAACTTCCAAGTCGATTATTAGAACTTCTAAGTACAACTGTGCTGAAATAAAAAAACTAATGACCATCTTCTGGCCCCTCCAGCTGCTTCTTTTCCTGGTCTCCTGAACAATGCCATTGGGACACCCAATGTCCACTTGAACAGGAAGGCTGCACCTCTGTCCAGCAACTCATCTGAAGGACAACATCATTGACAATCTGGTACACCTCCAGCACTGCAACTGTAATGGAAACTCAGACCATAAACTCCACCCCTCCCAATCCCCTCTCTCTTACCTCTCCATTCCATTCCGCCTTATCTATGCATCAAGTCTCCTCTTAAATTCACTGATGCTTTCTGCTTCAACCACAGCATCTGACAGCGAATTCCACATTCTCACTATCCTCTGTGTAAGGAAGTTTCACTTCAACTCTTTTTGTAGGTGTTCACCTATACGATTTGTGAACTTTCAAAACACTAACGATTCAAATGACAGAATTGTATAATAAATGTGATTGATGTTCAATCAGAAATCTAGCATATAAATGAAGAATACTTAACAACACTTTTTTAATGGATCAACCATGCTAATGTGCTATTCTGAGATAATTTAACAGAGCAGAGCAACCTGGCCTTTTATTTGCTTACAATGAAAAATTGCTCAGTATTTACATTTGGCTTAATATTTTTTGATTTGATAAATTAAAAAAGTATGAAGATTTTCCCAAATGTAATCTAAAATATATCTGAAATCTGCATTTCACAAAACAAATTCGAAATTTCAACAATGGTAAAAGAAGAGCACATTAGCCACTCAATTTACTAATAATTATCCATTTTACAAATAAAGTCCAAGTATGCCCTCTGCTGGATTCAGACTAAACAAACTGATAGACATGTTTTTTTCTAACAGGTGGGAGAAACAAAATAATCATACTTGTTCTAGATCAGGCATTCCATCAGATCAAAGAACGATGCGTTACAGGACTTTTTCTATTCTTTCTGATCCACTTACAAAAAAAAGTCAACAGAATAGCTGACTGTAAATCTCTGCACTAACAATCCTCACCTGTAGTGAGCAGCAAACATGTATCTCACTTGTATCCTTCAGCTCACATGCCCAGCTTTCTCATTGCTGACTGTTGAACATTACAGCTTCCATTATCAGAGGACGTTCGCTTTGGCTTCCTACTCTCAACAGCACGCACATCTCATCAAGTCAGTAGATGTCAGGTTTGCAATCTTCTTTTACTGTGCGCATTCATTGTTTATAATAGTTTCCATCAATGCAACACTTCCTGACACTTTCTTCCACAGTCATAAGAAAATCTCCTCACCAGCTCCCATAACCTCTGCTCCTCTAAGCTTTTTTTTATTAAAAAGAAAGCTTCTTTTGAGAACTCCTACTCCTCCAGTCTCTTTCAATCATTTATTAATTGCACAGTATCTCGGATGTTCCATGTTAAATCCTCAACCTCTGCTGTATTAGCTTAAGCGTCACTTGTCACACTTACTAATGAACACCACCTTCATGGTCAGCACATTTCACAATTTACTTTCAAATCTCTATAACCTATATTTATCCAAATTCAATTTCATTGCTTAGCCCTTCTATTTAATTCATCAGAATTGCTCTCAATAATGCCAATCTCCTATCTGCTCCTTATATGGTCACAGCTATGGTGCCTGCAAATGTGATAAAATAATTAGACCTTCATCAAATTATTCACTATGGGGGCAAGTTCACTAGCTATCAATTACAGTCAGAGCTACTTCTTTAAGTTTCTCATTGTTAAATAGTTTTCCAATCTTATCAAATATCATGAGCTCAGAGGAGGAAGCAGAGCTCCACAAAACACTATCCCTGAAGCTTCCATCATAGAAAAACATTGCTGTGAACATAGACATGTCAACAGTCCTGCCGCAGTCAAAACAAGATCACAAAATTACGTAGGACCAAGAAATACGATTTAAGGGCAATGTGAATGTCTTTGCTGAATCCAGTTTACGATATAGGGCAATAATATAAACACCTCCACTACCACATGTTGGAAGAGAGTCCAGGTTAGCTGGCTGCTGAGGAAAAATTCCACTCTGCGTTATGACTGCTCTCGCTGGCTCGTAATGAGAAAAGTGACATTAGGAATCAGCCTCTGAATACTGAATTGGTTATGTAAATATACATAGGCCACTCCAGTAATTATTTTGATTAATAATACCTCCACAGCTATAATGCTCAACATTTTTCACTATAAACTAACCAATTCATTACATTGTCAAAACCATCCCAATTAATACAGTAGTGGTACAAACTGATTAATGCACGATAACTGTTGAAATTTGGCACATCAATAAACAGAAATTCTAATATTGTTTCTGAAACAGGGTCATCTGCAAAATGTAAATCTTTTTTTCAGATTTCTACCATTTAAAGATTTGTCTTTTTAGTACGGGTGATTGATACATTTATACACAAAGGCTGCTTTGGGAGAGAACAAACATCTTTTATTTTCCACTGGGTCCTCTCCCGAGGAACTTGGGTTACAGTACTGTTTTCAATTTTAGGCAGACAATATTAGGAAGGATACATAAGCCTTGGAGGGCATCCAATAATGATTCACTAAATTAATATCTGAAATGAAGAGGCTAGCCTATGAAGAGATGCTGTGCTATGATAAGAGTTTGTCTAGGTTTTGGTTGTATTCCTTAGAGCAGAGGGAAATATGAAGTGTTTAAAATAATAAAGGGAATTGATAAGCTAGAAAATGGATTAATTAATAACAACTAGCGTTTAAATAGCACTTTCATGTAAGAATGTCTTGCAGCGCTTTACAATGACAGACACTGAGCAAAGGAGAAGGGATAGGGGAAAAAATAAATGGATGGTAGTTGAGGTCAAAGAGGCAGGTGTTCAGGCAGCATTTAAAAACACATAACAGAGGAGTAGAGAGGGGGAGTTAGAGGTAAGCAGGTAGTAGCTGAAGGCTCGGCCACGCTTGGTGCACAGAAGACAGACCGTAAGCCCGAGTTAGCCGAGTGCAGGGGGCAAAAGGAGTGGGTGAGGGGAAGAGATTGGAAGGTCCTAAGTCATGAGGGAATTTATTGGTGAAGGTGAAGACTTTGATCCATTGGGAGACAATGGAGCCTCTTGACCTGGGATGATGGGCACACAGTTCAGTGCTGGGAGAATGTCAGTGCTGGAACCCAGTCTCTTCCAGGAGGGAGATGATGACAGTGGTTTAGAATGGGAAGTCGATGGTGTCACAAGACAGCATGGGGCAGAGGAGGGGACACTAGATGATAATTATAAATGAGACCAGAAAACATTTACATATATAAAAGCATAGTCATCTTCATAAAGTATAAAAATGCTAATATTAAACTTACTTCTACAGCCACGACCAGCAGAACAAGCTCTGTGCTGTTCTCGAAAAAGCTCCTTGCTTGGGGTGATATCCCAATCAACCCACAATTGGTGATCACTGCTATCACTCCCATCGTCTCAAAGGCCAGCTACAGAAATGTCAAATCAGAATAATACAAATAAAATCTCAGATTTTATCTGAAGATTTAACAATCTTCTTCCATAAAATTAGTCATACTTTCCAGTATATCCCATGAAGTGCTTTAAATGTCCTCCCAACGTAAAAATGTGCTGTATCAAATGTAAGTATTATGATTATTATCTTTAGATTCTGCCAAATAGAACCAATTTGCTCCAAACTACACAAAATTAATGTATTATTTTGGCTAAACTGGAATTGTAGTAGTATTAAAATTGCATTGCACTTTAAGGTTTCTAACAAACAATGGATTAGGAATTACCTAAAAAATTCTTACTGATACCAGAGCACCAACAAGCATTTTTTAGGTAATTCCTAATAGAAAGGAGTTGGGAATTAGGTCATTCCTAATCCCAGAGCACCAACAAGAAATTTGATTGAGAGATATTAACTGCAGTTCTATGCTAACTCTCCACACACCAGACTTCCCAACTCTTCACTCCACAAGCTATGGATTAATCAGAACTCTAATCTTCGCCCAGTTTCACTGGCTCACCATCCCCCAGAGGATTGTTTAAGATCCTCGTCCTCACCTTTAAAGCTCTCCACAGTCTTGCCCCTCCAATACTTCTGCAGCCTGCAACCTTACCAACTTGTCCGCTCCGTCTACTTGGCAGACACTGGCCTACTCCATGTTCCCCCGCCCTGGCCGTCCCACCATTGGCGATTGAACTTTCAGTCTTTCTGCTCCCACCCTCTTGAACTCTCCATCCCAGAGTCCATTCACCTCACCTCCTCTCTTGCCTCCTTCAAAGCCCGTCTAAAGGCTTTTGCGTTTGACCCCACCTTCGATCATCCTCCCACCTCCACCTCCCGAGGTTCCAACACTCAGCTTGAGTGTAAATCCTTGGCTGTCCAGTGCCTCCTCCAAATGTGAAAGACACTATGTAAATGCAATTTGTTGTTGTTGGATCTGTCCTAATCCCGGGTGACATGGTCCCAGTATCCTTGGGTCATTTTGTTCTCTTAGATATTGGGCAATATCTACTGTAGGTGGAGGATGAACAAATAAAGGAGTAATTCTCAAGAGTAAAATATAACAACAAATTGTATTTATATTGCTTTTCATGTCAGGAGAACATGCTACGGTGCAAGTGTTTACAAGTAAAATATCTCGAAATTTTAACAAGATGGAATATTGAAGTGCAAACAATTGAACTCTGGTTACCTGCCAGACTCCAATGTCAGATGCAGGTTCTGAAAAAGGTCGTTTGAAGACGCGACACATTTTCAAGCCGTCAGAGTAGACCTCTGTGATGTTGTTCAATATGGCAAGTATAGCTGCCAGTGGATAAACACAGGAGAAAAGGCTAACATAGCCAAACTGCAGAAATAGCTCTAAGTAATCATCAAAAGTTCCCTGTGGAGACAAAAAGTTTGATCAAAAATAAAAAACACATTTTAAAACAATTATATTAAATACATGAATGAGAGCTGGAGTTTTTAAAATACTGATGTTATTAATGAGGAATTGGAATGCAGTAGTTTGGAATTCTGGTACAGCAATGGATTGAAATACTAAACATGTTCTTTCATGCGGTTCTTCAAATACTGAGTTGTTTATCTTGGCCAGACCATCAATAAGTGAGTGAATATCAGTGGGCCAAATTTAATAGCTGGTTCCAAGTTTAATTGGCCCAAAGGCACTAACAGTGGAGAAAGAGAAAGATACTTTGCTGAAACAATCTTTCGATTAAATCTGAGCAGTCTGTGAGCATAATAATTCAATACATTAGAATTGTGAGTAACTATCTACATATTCATCATCTAGGCTGATGCTCTAATATAGTGTGAGGGGAGAACAGCATTGTTGGAGGTGCAGTGCTTCAGATGAAATGTTAAACTGACGTCCCACCTGCCTGTTCAGGTAGACACGTATTATCTACTGTTTCTTCAACTGCATACAACTTTAAATTATAAATTTGTGATATGATTTTACTGGGGTAGGTTTAAGGTTTATTATTGTACTTCTCTCCATGTAATGATTTCTGATATCATTGTAGAGAGTACATTGTGCAATCCACTAGGCTTGTTGTTAGTATTGTTCTGCTTGATTGAAATTCTAAATAAATCACAAAAAGTGACCCGTTGTACATATGCACAGATACTGATTGCCAGATAATTTTAGCATTAAGAGCAGAGTGCTATCACCTCCAATAACCTTAAGGGCAAACTTATTTCAAAATTGTGCTTTGTAACAGCTGCACTCAGACAGACTGCAGTTACTCTACAACTGTGTGCATCGATTCGAATATGAAGCCGCCTCCTAGAATTAGTTTCCCAAGAAGTCCTTCAAATCAATATCACTTCATCTTCTCAAAGTAAGATACAGTATACTTTTTAACATTGATTCATCACAAAAACACAAAGAATCATTGCCACTCGAGTTGTGTAGCTGCAGCATTAAATGTTTCAGTGTTGTTATTTATGCATTAAACACAAAAAATAATGAGTTAGAGAATAACCAAACTATACTAATGACTGTTAAGATATTTGATATATCTGATGTCCTCTATAGTTAAAGTACAATAAGAAAATGCAGTGATATCTTGTTCCTATTCTGAGAAGTATTGAACCAAGTAGACTCGTTAAGCATGTTCTCCAGAATGTCAGTATCTCTGACTCAATATACACTATACACCAATATACATATCCTGCATAAAGTAATGGCCTAGATAATAATCCTCATCTTGACATCAAGAATAGCAATCATTTTCATACTGATTCAACATTGCTGCTATGAAGCTTTAATTCTGAAGATTAGATCTGATCGGGTCTTCGCCTAGCTCCTATCTATTGAATGTGGTAAACCTATTCACACTTTTACTTGTTGTGCTCAGAAAATCATTTAAAAGGTTCTTTGATAAGATAAACAGATATAAGCCAAGAAACAAAATAGCATAACTGTACATAACTACCTCATTACATTATCTCTGATCCCAACAGGTTCCCATTCTCATATTGTTAACCTGTTTGCTCCCTCAAAGGCAAAATCCAATTCTAGGGCTATAACAAAACTTATGAGTGATGGAATTTTACATGTTAATAGAGGCATTTTAAGATTGTACTTTTCCCGACAGTAACCCTGGGTTTGGGAGGCATGCATGTGTTGGCAAGAACATTGTGTAACTCTCGGCAAAAAGCACTGGCATCAAGACTTTCCAAGAGTTACACAATGTTCTTACCAAAACATACGTATCTCGTATCCCAGCATGACTGTCGGGAGAAATACAATTCGAAAATGCCTCTATTAACATACAAAATTCCAATTCAGTATTTACGGAAAGCAGAAAAGAGCTTTTCTCAAATAAAAAATTTACTGGTGAGGCAAAGACATAGGTAAGAATTCCCCAGATGTCCTGACACCACTCCATTATGTGGAGGACCTGACCCCTTCTACAGTAAGGCATGTGGGGCCAATACACATAAACCACAACTCCTCGATACGACAAAATAAAGAAACAATGATAACAACATGGATGCTAATGAAATTGGTTATTGTCTGGCTGTTAATATTTAGAGATTCAATGGAAACTGAAATAATGCCTCAGGGTTAGAAAAAGGAGGAAATATAACGATAACGTATTGTTGTTTGAAGATATAACAGTCCTTGTGGATAAGAGGAAGTTATACATTTAGAGTTTGACACAGCCTTTGACACAATGCTATACAAGAGATTCATCCACAAGATGGGAAGGCAGAAATTTGTCAGGAGAGAAATGAGTGTGTAAAGTTAACCATAACTTTAGCTTTATCTAAAACGTGTTTAATTTTAGATATTGTGGTGGCATGCCAAGCTCACCAGTTAACAAAGTTTTGTGTTTACAGCCCTCAATTAGTTCAATTCCATGACAGACATCAATTCTGATTTGGCCAGATAAACAGGAAATTGCTGAACATGTGCACTCCATTGCATAGATTTAGAATGCGTAAATATCTCCAGGCTAAGGGAACAATCTGTTTTTTGTATTTATCTCAATGTTCTCAGGAAATATTTGGAAAGTTTTGTTATGGAAACTTGAATAATTCTCAGACCTTTACACATATTCACAAACATGATAACGCCCTAGTATAATACATGCTTGGCTATACAAATGTAATGTTGTTGTTGGCTTGGCTATTCTGTTAATTTAAACAATATGTTTTGGTCAGCCAGGTGTTTGATACATGCAGAAAACTCTTTACCATTCAATCGAGTAACCAAACCAGACTGAGCTCCACAAATGTATGCCACCAATACATAGAAATTTTAATGTTTCTGGAATGGAATGCATACTCTCTCCCTGGTAGGATGCACTCTGCTTATCCAATTCCAGAGAGTATTAGGCACAGAGTGAGGTTTGAGGATCCGAACATGTGCGTGAATATGGGTGGAGTCTAGCCACCTAAAGCTTATAGCTGGCAGGTCTATCAATGCCCTGGGGAAAACACCTGGCTCAGGAACTAAACTACCAAGACAGCTGCACAGCCACACATTGACTAGCTCCAACATATAATAATAATAATAATAATAATCCTTGCATTTGATATAGCGCTTTTCACGTCGGGAGGACGTCCCAAAGCGCCTCACAGAACACACTGTAAAGTGAATTGACTTTACTTTATGTTGTTGAACACGTCACCATGGAGCTAGTCAGTTCAAAGAAGATGCCACTTATCTGCACCCCGCACGGTGGATAGTCACTAGTTGGTTTTTTGACATCCGACAAATGATGTAGGTTTGAGCTTGCAATACGTGGACAGTGAACCTTGAAGTAATCTATCAAAAGTAGCCAGATTATTCATGGCAGTCTCTACACCCAAGAGCTTGCAATTCTAGACTAAACAGGTTGAATAAAAGTGTGCTCATAAAAGAATACCAAACAACTTTCACAGGATATGTATTTACAGACGAACAATGATCTGTGAATCAAGTAACTTGATGAAAGTATTTAATCAAATGCATCAGCCTCACTCCTCCATAACCACAAGTATGTTTCAGCACCACAGAGGTTGGAGAGAAGTTACATCTAAGAGGAATAAGATGCCCAGGATAATGTGAAAGAACATGCTCTGGGCACCTAAATGCCAATATTCTTATGTCAGTTAGTCAGTGGTATTTCATAACATTTATAATTTTGAAAATGACTAACACCAAACAGATGTCTGAGTCAAGTCAAGTTAGTACAAGCTTGGTCTGTGAGGCAGATGTTTCCTGCTAGTGGGAATCATCTTTCACTATTTTACACTTAAAGAATTCTGAATTCCTCAGATCCCCTCAACCTCAACCTCAAAACAAGCCCATATTTTGGAAACCACTCCTCATAACCCTTCATCTCTGGTATCAATGTAATAGAATGCAATGTAATATTGTGAAATGTAACAGAATGCAAGTGCTCTGAGTCACTACCCCACCGTGAAGAGTACTATATAAATGCGATTAGTTGTAGAATGTAAAACGGTAAGGGAAAAGTGCAGAGAGCAGAAATTAGAACAGTTAGCTCTAATGCAGCAGCACTATTTTACATTCAATGAGCCGAATAACTTCCCATCATGTAACTTCAAATCTGATTCAGACCCCATATCCGTGCCATGACTTGTTCTGCTCCCACCCACGTAATATCACCCAATTCCGCCACTGCCTCTCCTCTCAAGCCGCCGAGTCTCTCATCCATGCATTCATAACATCCAGACTCTATAGGTAATTCCCTGCTTGTTGATCGTCTCAACTCGTCCCTCCACAAGCTGCAGATTATTCAGAACCCTGCAGTTTGTGTCCTTTCCCACACCAGGCTCTGTAAACCCATCACCCCCCAACCTTGATCAATTCAAATCCTCGTCCTCGCTTTCAAAGACCTCCACAGCCTGCTCATCCCTACCTCTGTGACCTGCTAACTCCATACCGGCCTCCCTTTGCTTGGCGGACTCTGTTCTGAACGTCCCCCGCCCGACCCACCCCACTTCAACCTTTCTGTCCCCAACCTTTGGAGCTCCATCCCATCATCCCTTCGCCTTGCTCGCTCCCTTGCCTCCCAACGTGAAAGGTGCTATAAAAATGTAATTTGTTGTTCTAACATTGCAGCATATCATGTTCTGACCTAAAGGGTCTAAGATTGCTAAGTGAGAACAGATTTAGTGTCCATTCAAGATGGCATGTCAGTTTAGACTATTGTGCTATCTGATACACACAACACATGAATGGCCATGTTCGGATACTTGAAGCTTCTTTGAATCCAACCAAGTATTCACAATGCAATTATTATATGAACATAAATGAATATTAAAAAATGAAAATTGTAACATATAATCTGGCTTTAGCCCAGATTATTTAATCAATAATTAAAAACTGCATTTGTTTAAAGGGGAAGGTTATCCTATTAAATTGTCATATGATAATAATAATAATAATCCTTGCAATTGATGTAGCGCCTTATCATGTCTTCTAGACGTCTCAAAGCGCTTCACAGAATATACTGTGAAGTGAATTGACTCTACATTTTGTGGGTGAAACGCGGAAGCCAATTGCGCAAAGCAGTGTCCTACAAACAGTTGTGGATTGACTGACCAAATTATTATTCTTATTTTTTTTGATGGGATCATTACCCCTGGAATAGCGATCTGAACTGATTAACAATTTACTTACTGCTAAGTAGACAGAGCCATGTGGAGAAAGGTAAATTGAACCCAGGTCCTCTCGCTTGCGAAGCGCGTGCTCTAACCATTAAGCTACAGGATTCCATTGCTACATTTTATAGTAAAAGACGTACATAAATAGCAATGTATCAACCTCATTATCTTTTTTTATAATTTAAAACTGTTGGCTGCAGATGACTGATCAGGAACTTCCACTGCAGTGAATATACAATGTCGTTCTTATTCATGATGTTACACAAGAGGAACTGGCTCCAAGAAGTAGCTTTGGAACGCAGAGGAAATAAAGAGGAACTGAAAGCTGCTGATACATGCACAATCTTTATAGCGTTAAAAGTGAATACATTTTCCCTTTAAAATCAATTAAGTGGTTTCATGCAAAAAACGAATGTATTTAGTATCAGAATGTGAAAATGTCATCAAATTTCCTTCCTCCATCGTCTAACACAAAACCTACCCTATCCTGGACTTCATCTGACTCACATCCCCTGGAGCAAACCTCTCCCCAGAGGATTTATTATTTTCAGTCAGCACTCCAGTATTTTCTAATCTTTTGTTCTGCATGCAACTTTTTAAGTATAAACCGATGCCCTCCAGTTCGGCCTCACTAATCCACGAGGTGAAAACCTAGTTCACAGCAGCATTTCCACCTGTCCCATTTTCCTCTGGCACTTTTGTTTTGTTCTATTGGTGTCAGTTGTACATCAGATAACATAGCCATTTTAATACATTATAAGTATGTGCAAATCAATGTAAACAGCAAAAGGGATGTGACCCTAAAAAATGTGGGAATCCTAAGTGAAGTATAACCCAGAGTGCAGGTTTGAGGTTGAGAAGAATGGGAATCAGGTTTACACAAATCAACTAATGGTGAGGCAACACCAAGCCGGGGACTTAAAATCCTGTAAATTGAAGGAGAAAAGAAAAAGTAGTGATAAGAAGCTGCACAATTTGGAAGTTCTGAGAAACAGCAGAATAGATGGAAAAGATAATATTGAGAAGGAGGTATTATCTATAGATAATACTTGCCCAAGGTTAGGCAGGGTAAAACCTTGGGCAAGTTTCCTTACTCCACACGCCTAATAATAATCCCTCCAAAACCAAAAACAAGTTAAATACAGATTTTTGGAGTTCACAGCTTTTTCTTATAACATGGTGCTAACTGAGCAGACTCATGTAAATGACTAGTATTTAAGGGACATAATTCTAATCCATATAATGTTCATGGGTTTAAAAATCTAACACAGATCATTTTATAATACCTAAATATAAAGTTGGAATTAAATCAGTTTTGGAGCAACCAAAATACTGGATTACATTTCAAAACTTCTGATGTGCTGGTATTGCTGATCTGCCCATTTCATTCTACTCAGTCATTCTGATTTAAACTCACCAAATACGTATCCATTTCTCCTTCCAGCTTGACTTGCTGAACGAATGGAAGTTCTTTCTCTACACGTGAAACTTGAAACTTCTGTTTGACCTTTCTGTTGCGACGTTTTTGAAGGCAGTAAGGAAGAAAAGATTCAACAACCTGGTTGAGTATTTGCGATGCGATGAGTAAGGTAGCTAGACTCTATAACAAAACAAATTAGTCAAAATGCAGCATATGCATTAAAATTGTAAATATTCATAAACATTAAGATGCTAGCTATTGTTTCATTGTTGTCTATGGACAGGAAATTCCCCATGTTCCTAAGTGACTATAATTAAAATAATCCTGTGATACAGAATCTTATCACGTCGTCAAGATGTTGCAAAATACTTTACAATATATGCTGTAAAGTGGTGTGCCTGTGAATATTTTGTGCGTGAATACTATGTGAGTTAAGTGACTGAAACATCTTTTAAAACAGTCAATGTTGCTACACTTAGAGGCATGAGGAGTTTCTTGTTCAGTATCTACATTTCACAAACCTACAAACACCAGCTATTTTGTGAAACTGTTGAATCATCAGTTGACATTAAGATTAAAGCTTGATGACTTTCTAAAACAACTTGCATTTAGATAGCACCCTTCACGAGAGTAGACTCTTTCTGAGTTTCATTTAGCGCAAAACCGATATAAACCTCTAACAAACTTCTTTACATGGTATATTATGACAGTATGTTCTTACAGAACAAATATTTCTTAGAATATGTCTACTGATTACCAGGGATTTCATCTTCACATTGTGCACAAAGTTTCCCCACTTATTTCAATTATTGTAGAATTTTACATTTGACTAAAAACCTTCTGAGAATGAGGTAAGGAACCGGCTTTTCTACACTGCACATACTTTTGAATAGATCAGTCATTCAATTGAAGAAAGAAGCACTGAGCAAAATATCTCTATCAGCGCCGTGGAGGTTGAAGTGAGAGGAGAGGTGGTGGTTGAAGACAGAGTGGTCGACAGTGTCGAAGGCAGCAGAGAGATCAAGGAGGACAAGGAGGCAGAGGGAGCCCTGGTCGCAGATGGACAGAATGTCATTTGTCACTTTGACCAGGGCTGTTTCTGTGCTGTGGGCAGCATGGAAACATGATTGGAGGAGTTCGAGAAGGGAGTGGCGGGAGAGGAAGGAGCGAAGCTGAGAAGCAACAACTCGTTCCAGGACCTTAGAGAGGAAGGAGAGGTTGGAAATGGGGCGGTAGTTAGGAAGTAGAGAAGTGTCCAGGGAGGGGTTTTTAAGGATAGGAGTGATGACAGTGGTTTTTAAAGGGGTGGGAACAGTATCAGAGGACAGGGAGAGATTAACAATGTCAGTGAGTAGAGGGGCAAGGAGGTGGAGCTGGGAGGTAAGGAGGGGCATAGGGATGGGGTCGAGAGAGCAGGTGGTGGGTTTCATACGGATGGATTTCATCAGTTGATTAAAAGGTGTAATATATAACAATTCATAATTTATGAAAATCTAAATGCTCCAAAGCAGAGTTAGCAACATCAGCAACAATGAACAGAAGAATGGGAATGAGTCACATGGAGGATGAACATTCAAATAACCAGGAAAACCATATTAATCTTACTTCACATCTCAGTATGCCTTCAAATGTACAACAAAGCACTGACAAAATACCAGGAGGGAATTAACTTTCATTTCAAAAATATGTTAGGAAATCCTTTATTTAATAAATATTCTCAATAAAATATAGAAAATTGGACACATCAAAACAAATAGTTACAAAGTGGCTATGGGCTTCCATAAGGGTATTAATTAGAATCAAAGCAATGGAAAATACTTGTGTTGAAGCCCTTCATCAATATAAATCTTTTTGATTCGAGAGCTTGTTTGCTTATTCAATGATGAATTTATTTATAAGTGTCATGGAATGTCCTCCCGACATGAAAGGTGTGAAAGAAGTTGTATAAATATAAATTGTTTTGTATTATTTACCTAGTCTTAGAAACATCAACATAATTTTTTAATTAATGGAAGTAAAACAGAGGAGCTGACAAAGAATGCTGGTATTAAATGATTATTTTCTTCAAAGCATGAAGAAGAGCTTCTCCAAAACCTTACAGTCAAGACTGACTCACAACATTGTCTTGTTAAGATGAAGGTTAATTTACTTTACAGACCGCTGTCAACTTACAACGAACATTCCACAACCTGACCATTAATACTTTGCTTGGTGATGAGATTGGTTTCCAGATGAAGCACCTACCATGGAGTGACAAGAAATAAATTGAAGTAATCCAAGTCAGGTGGAAGAGAGGGTAAAGTAGAAGTTTACACAGTACTTAATGATTGGGGATAACTGTGTGGTTGCTATATGACTCTATAGGATAGAACACAGCCTTCCCACACTCGCTATCTTCGCTCTGCATGAAGAATCACCATTGGAGTGGCTGAGGACTGCTAGCAACTGTGAAAGCACAGAATACCTGTTATTACCTTCAGAAAGGCGCACAAATGAGGAGGAAGGAAGGAGCAAATTTCCCTCCCTGTTCAAATGATGGATCTATCCAAAAGTTATGAGGAGATAAAACAAAATGGTTTTTTTTAGTTTATTCAATTACTGTTTTAGAGTAGTCTTAAAAGCTTCTCCTCCCTCCCCCCCTCAATTCTTAGATAAACATATTCAAGATCACCACTTAGTTGTGAAAACATTTACCTGTCGAAGAAGTTTCATATCCTGAAGAACAAATGCAATGTAGAAGAGGGATGAGAAACAGTTTGTGAAGTTGAACTGGAGAACAGAAAGAATTGGTTTCATTAACAAAATCAACAGCCAAGTTTAAACCAATTTACAAGAAAATTCCTCAGGAACGTAGCAACAACTTACAATACAAAATTACATTTGTACAGCCCCCTTCACTTCGGGAGGATGTCCCAAGACACTGGACAGTCAGGGAAGGCTTCAGAAGTGGTGGAGTTTGACACCAAGCTGGAGATAGGGGGGAGGCACAGTCAAAGAGGAAGATCTTTGGGTGTGATCTGAAGATGGGCAAGGAGAGGGTGATGCAGAAGGATTGAGGCAGAGTTCCAGGGTATACAGGCTGAAAGTATGGCTGCCGATAATGAAGCGGAGGGAACGAGGGACATGCATAAACTGTATTTGCCACATATCTGCTAATTCCCCAACCTACATGTGTCTTCGTGTAAACTCCAGCATTCTTCTGTAGTTTAACAAATCTAATTTGGTATCAATGTGGTCCTGTTTAGGGCTAAATCTATAATCAGTAAATGGTAAATAACTTAGGACTGCTACAAATTATCCAAGTTGGAAACAAGGGCTACAAATGAATGAGAAAAATAACATCAAATTGCCAATTAATATTGAAGATGATTCAGTGTTTTCATTAATATGTTTAATTAAACATGCTAATTTTAAGAATTTCATACACATTTTTTTTAAAAATCGATTTCAAGATCCTCTCACTCATCTATAAATCCCTTCGCACCTTAGCACCTCCCTACCTTTCTGACCTGCTTCTTTCTCCCCATTCCTCACTGCCTCGACTCGGCTGCCTCTGGCCGCCTGCTTGTCCTCTGCTCCATCTGCAGCCACACTTTCAGCCACTATACCCCGATGCTTTGGCGTTCTCTGCCCCAATCCCTCCCCCAATCCCTCTGCCTTGCCCTCTCCTTTCCTTCTTAGATTATGAGTGAAGACCTTCCTCTTCAACTGTGATTACGGTCACCTCCTCCCTCCCCTACGCTGAGAGCATCAGGATCTGCCACTTTTAAGAGCTCTGAGATTCTTCCCTGCGTGAAGGGCACTATACAAATGCAAGTTGTTGTAATTTATTAGCTGCAAGAATTTTAAAGTAGGCTTGGCATGCTATTTTTAAACTGCTTATTGTATGACTGTAAAGTGCCTGGAATAGTAAGGATGCTTCCACTTTCAGAACTACCACAGTAGTGCTAATAGTTTTACAATGAATTTGTGTTTTTTGTATTATCTGTCCTAGCTATATAATTTAAATCTACCTCTGTTAAGTTACATTATTTTTGATTCAATTGGCTACTGTCCATCACTAAAATATTTGCCATTTGCAGAAAGAAAGCGAGCTGTTGAAACACTACTACATTTATTAATAAGAGTTGGTTTGTTAAGCCACAGTAAGGGCATTGCTACTAAGGAAGTCGTGTCACCTGAAAGAATGTGCACTTCAAGCTCATGGAAGATATGGTCTGCTTAAGTGAGCTGTGAGTACATAATACTTTCAAGGGTTGAAGAACATCTTTACCAATTATAACTGTCAGTGAATCAGAGTGCGTTATTTAAATCTGTTACATTAGGCTACAACATATTCCACTCCTCAAAAATCTTTTACAGTTAGAAAAATATTTCCACTCTATTGCAAAACTACAATTTATAGTAATCAGAGGTCCTAGAGTCCTGATAAATTACCTCAAACATGTCAGCAAAGCTGCTTTGTTTGTCTGATGTCACCCAATTTGGTGTTTTCAGTTAACAAGTGCAACTCTCTCCAAACCCAAACAGAAGGACAGATAAGGAAAAAAAGAGCTATCTTCATTCTTTGAGTAGAATCCCATCCTTTGCACATTGAACACCTAGAACTGGATTGCTATAGATTTTCGAAAAAGGACTGTTACCGCTTCAAAAACTGCATCCTTGTAAATTACACAACATTCATTCTGACAAATGCAATACACAACACCTAGAATATACCAATCTTCCTTCGCTGACCATGTTCTCAGACTTTCACCATGGAGTATTTTGGAGACAATGGAGTCAAACGTTAGATAAATAGACTTACCACCAACACTTTAAGGACTAAATGATTCTGATGAGAAGACTCAAGTCTGTGGTTTTCTGGAACACAAAAATGTACAAGAATTAATGACTAAAAGTCAAATTGTAAACAAATTCTTAAAAAAAATGTACATTTCTTTCTAAAGAGAAAATTGATTTTTTCTTATTTCAATACTAAATAATCCTTTCACCAGCACCAAGCAATGGTAAGATTCTCCAGCTAGACCACCCTAGCATTGTGGAATTCAGCCTTCAGGACACATCTACAAATCAAAATCCAATTGATCTTCCAGGTGAACTATTAGCATTGGAGTTAATTATACTTCATATATTTAGGTCATGGCTCCAACACACTCCCGATAGGTCCTTCAAACACACAACACCACACCTACAGGATAACACCTCTGACAATTCAACATTGCCCCAACACACTGCGGACTCACAGCAAGTCTGATGCACAAAATGTCTCAGAAAAGCTGCACTGTCAGATGTACCATCATTCGGATTAGATGTTAAACCAAGGTCCATCTGCCTGTTCAGGCGGATGTTAAAGATCCCATGATACTTCGAAAAGAGAAGGGAGTTTCTCCTGGTGTTCAGCCAACAATCCCCCAAATAAAACTGGTCACTCATTCCGTGGCTGTTTGTGGACTTCTCTGTGCACAAACTGGCCAGGCTTTGCCCACAAAATACAATCAATAAGCACTTTAAGTTATCTCAACAATGCGATAAGGCTCTATATCAAATGCAAGGATTATTATATCATCTTCCCACTCTGTCAACTCCTCTAACCTGCTATTTGTGTTCCTTTAATCTTCTGCTTTCCTCTTCAATTTGCCATGCCAACTAATTTGGTATCATTAGCTAACTGGGAACACTTTGCCGACTATGCCCAGGACAAAAATCATATAAGTTATGGAAAATGAGAGTCCCTCGAATAGAAACTTAGGCCCTTCAACGTAACATTCTTTCATCAGCGGCAGTGAAATCTAAACTCTTAATTCAGAACTAAGAGGAAAATAAGCAGGATGAAGTGGTAAATTTTAAGGTGACAGATAGAGTTGAAATGGAGGAGTATAGAGGGAGTTCCAGGTTAGGGTCTTAAAATCTGAAAGCTCCATCGCTGATGAAGGCAGAGGATGTGCAGCAAGTGGAACAGAGCAGCTGGGTAAGAGAAGCTCAGAGATATTGAATTACTAAGGCATGAAGGGATTTAAAGAAGACCCAGCTTGGTCTGAAATGCTGTACTCTGTCCAGCGCCTTGGGACATCCTCCCGATGTGAAAGGTGCTATACAAATGTAATATTGTTGTTGTTGTTGTTGAGGATCTTGAAATCGTTCCCATGAGAGAGAATGACACCTGGAGTGATGGACTTGCACAGTTGCAGGCAAGAATGTGGGTAACGGAACGAACCAAAGCCAAGGTTGCTCACTGGTGAGGAGACGTTGACAGGAGGATTGCTTCCTTCTTGTCTATATTTAGTTGCAGGAAATTGAGCTCAGTTTGCTGATTCTCTACCTTTGTATTTGCAGCCCTATCCTCTTCCCTACATTCTTCACTCATCCAATTCTAGCTTGTTGCTTCCCTCCATCAGTGACCAAACTATCAGTACCGTTCCCCCACTCTCTCGGAATGCAGAGGAGCTACCCTTCATATAAAATCATTATTGGACTATCACATGGGTATGATAGAGACACAGGAATTTCTAAATGTCCATTTAGAAAACACTCATATGTTGGAGAATAAAAAAAGTAGCCGTAAACTCTAAGTAAGATTTCACATCTGGCTTGTACTTACCCCATGAAGTTAAATATTCTGCAACATATCTGTAGATACGATTCATAATCTCAATAACAACAGCATACAATATACTGGGGCCATAGAGCATGAAAGCACTGATGCTCGTTTGTTCCTCTTGATGAAAGGCCAGAGCCCAGTTCTCCATACGAAAGTAGATCATCATAACATGCAATGAAAAGTAGAGACATAAGCAAACAAATGGTACGGAAACAAAGTAGATACGAAGCTGTCTCTTATAAGTAGGATACGTGGGCTCTTTTCTGCCAGTCGCTGGATTTATTCCCAACTTTCCATGAAAGCCAGGTCGTGGTTCTTCAAATTTCCTCTTCTTTACTAGCGTTCCCCATTTATATGACAGTTTGGCACAGCCACGCTTCCAAAATTCAAGAACGATGGTCGACCATATGAGGTTGAAAGAAGCAAACAGTACATATTTGTCATAATCTTCCCAGGTAAATAAATAGTAAGGCATGCCAATTAAGGCGATGGGAAATAAAGCAACTGTTAAGTACTCGAGAAAAGCAAAGTACAATCCAATTGAATCTCCAAAGTAGTGCTGGATGCTATCTGTGAGAAAAAAAAGAATAAAATTTATGGTAGAAAAATAATTAAAATGCAGATATATCACAATTTTATCATATAAGTTTTTTAAAAACTGCTAATAGAGACCATAGCTTGTACTTAAGGTGATAAATGAAGTAATTTTCCAATCTTAATGCATTCCTACAGATACAAAATTGCTACTACTTGCTCTATGCTGTCAAAATATTCATAGTAATATAGGAACTGGAGGTAGCCATTGAATCCATTTGGTTTTATTCGGTTACACAGGTAGATAAGGCTATAAAAAGGCTGATAACGTTTTTGGACTTATGTCCAGAGAGATAGATTATAAAAGTGAGGAGGTGATGTTGAATTTATACAAAACCTTCGTAAGACCACATTTGGGTATTGTGTCCAATTCTTATCTCACACAAGAAGGATATAGCAATGATAAGAGTACAGCGTAAGTCTACGAGGTTAATACCAGAGCTGGAACATTACAGCTATCAGAATAGACTGGATAGGTTAGGCCTTTATTGCTAGAGATTAAATGTTTAAAGAAGGACCTAATAAAAGTGTTTAAAATTGTCAAAAGATTTGATATCGAGCAACCAGGGGATCTAAAAGAGAATTTATGAGGAACTCAGAGGTCAGTGAGATTGTGGAACCGACTCCCTGAAGAGGTGGTTGAATCAGGTATTATAGATACATTTAAGAGGAAGCTAGTCCTTTGCATGAGAGAAGAGGGGAATAGAAGGGTATGGGAGGGAATAAAGATTGGGTGGAGACTCATGTGGAGTATAAACACACATTGTTGAGCTGAGTGCCCTGTTTCCATGCTGTACATTCTTTGCAAGCCTTGAACATTGCAACTCTACATTTGTAATGCTATTTTCCTGCTCCATTTACATTAATACCCCCTTGCTTTTCAAGTATCTATCTTTCCTAAACACCTCAACTGAACCTTGTTGATGCTGCTAATGTCTATGTGAATATTTCTAGTCCTGCAGACAGTGCATCATCTTGGAACCTTCCTTACCAGATTAGAATAGTATAACCACCAAGAACAGTAACTGATTAATTCATATTGGAGCAAGTTTAAATTACTACCTCCTAGATTTTGCCACACTTCAAAAATTATTGGAATCACATTTTAGTTACAAATACCACTTTTTTTTCCTAAAACATTAGTGAAGCTAGTTCCTCTGCTCGACAGATTGGCCTATATAGTTGGAATATACAGAACTGGCAAGATATTAAGGAGCAACTAGTAAGTTGTACGTGGATCTGTACATGTATGGAGAAGGAAGTAATTGGCAGTGTGACTGGTTGGTTCCTATTCCCACTCCTGAACAGCTTTTAATTGCATTGAAAAACACAGGGTTTAACTTACCAATAGGTAAAAAGGCAGGTTTTATCCGACCATACCAGTTTAAGGTGAGCTTTTTCAGTTCTCCTCTATTGTGCAAGGGGAAGTACTGGATTAGAATTCCACTGGTCTGCAACCGTCGGACTAAAATGAAAGAAATTGCTTTTATCAACAACTTGCATCTATTATTTAGTAAGTCATAGGAATATTTATAGTATCTGAAAACTAGAAAGTAAAATTTGTCTTGCTATTAGATCCTAGTATATATGCACATCAAGTTACTACATTCGGGATTTTCCACCTCTAATTAAAATCCTTTATTTGGGGACAAATAATCATGTAATCAATGTTAAATGATTCAGTGATAATTTTACAGGTTCATCTATGACAGTGGCCCTGTTAATTTATTGCAGATTCATGGAAATGAGATAGGAGGTACTCTGTGTAAACTCACAAATCAACTACATTATCTCTCCTTTCTGGTGGCCATACTAGCAATCACTCTACTAACTTTTCATTATTCCTGCTCTTTTAATCTTACACTAAAGACAATTTATAACTTACAGATCGATTTTCCAGGATAAAGCTTTGCTTGTGCATATCCTGGGATCATTGTTTCGTCTATTGCTCTAAGATTTTCTAATTCACGTTTGATGATATACTGACACTCTGCCATTGTCAGAAAATCTTCATTGTCATCTAAAAACCAAAGCAAGATAGTTCATTATGTTAATAATAGTTACCACATATCATGATCATGTCAAAGTAACACATTCAGCATTTTCTATGCTCTGAAACTCATTAGTCCATTTCTATATTCTATATTCGGCGCCTTGGGACGTCCTCCCGACGTGAAAGGCGCTCAATAAATGGAATCTTGTTGTTGTTGTTGTATATTTATAGGGCAAAAAGTCAGCAGATCTAATATTTTGTCTTTAGTTATTTCGACACCAAAAAAAATGTGAAGAAGAATTTCTTGAAAGAAAAGAACTGATAAAGTGTTATAACACATGTAGAGTAGTAGCTGGGAATAAGTTACAGGCAATAATTCAACCCAGCTCCAACCAACCCTTCCTCTCCAAGGCACTTCCCTTTTTCTTCTCCTCCCAGCACTCCCTCCTTGAACCCCTACAGTCCGGTTTCTGCTCCGCCACAACACTGAGACTGCCCAGGTCAAGGTGACCAAGCAATTCTCTCCATCTGCAATCAGACCTTTCTGCCTTCTTGACCTCTCTGTCACTTAAGACACAATCAACGTCTCCATCTTACTCCACCATCTCTTCTCACTGCTTCACCTTCTCAGTTCCGTCTTGCCCTGGTTTCACTCCTACCTATCCCAGTGCATTCACTTCATCTTTTCTAATAATGTTTCTACTCTCACTCAGTCATGTGCTATGTTGCTCAGGGCTCTATTCTTCATCCTCTTCACTTACAATCAATATGCCCCCACTTGGTGACATTAGCTGCAGACATGGGTTTCATTTCCACATGTTTGCAAATGACCTGCCCCCGCCTTCCCTTTCGTTCTCTCCATCTACCCTAGATCCAGAAACACTAGAGACTCCAGAAACACTGTTCATTACTGACGGACATCAAGTCCTGGATGAGCTCTCAGTTTCTTCAGTAGAATATCAACAAAACAAATGTTCTCCTTCTTGGCTCCTATTGTAGGTCAATGCGGAGCCTTCCGATCCCATCATCCCATTGGAGTCCTGTAGCTCAGTGGTTAGAGCACTCGCTTTGCAAGTGAGAGACCTGAGTTCAATTCCAGGCAGAGCGAAACCTTGGGCAAATTTCCTTACTCCACACAGAGCCTAATAATAATCCCTCCAAAACCAAAAACAATAATAAATTGGTCATTTTCAATCTACGACTGTTTGTGGGACATTGCTGTGCGCAATTGGCTGCCGCGTTCGCCCACAAATATACAGTCAATTCACTTTACAGTGTGTTCTGTGAAGCGCTTTGGGACGTCCTCCCGACGTGAAAAGCGCTATATCAAATGCAAGGATTATTACTATTATAACCTGCATGGATGCTCACGATGCCTCACGAAGGGAGTGCAGATCTCATCGTCTTTTCCAACAACAACTGTCTTTCAAGCCTTATATCTGGACTCTCAATCACTCAACTTTCCCTTACCTCACATTATTTGAGCCTAATAAGTTTGTTTACCAGAAGAATTCATATCTTGAATTCAATGTTTTTTTTAAAGTCTTCATAATTCAATTGATCAATTTTTCAAAAAATCATTAACTCATTTCAACAATTAACGCTTGAAAATGACTTTCCTGTAATGCCATTGCTTTAAAATATTACAGTGTAGGGTTTTATCATTAAGAAGTGAAAGGTCAATAACATTGGCTGGATGTAAAATATTGTGCATGCTTTAATATTCATTACTATGAAAGTACATAATTATCCTTTGAAACATTTGAACTACAAGCTCTAGTAAACTTAAACAACTAAATGGAACAAATTCTAGTAAACTTACCTGTAAATTCTTTGTATTGTTCTTTGTTTAGGTAAGTAAAAGCTCTCATTGAGCCATCTTGATACTCCTTCACTAAACATACAGCTTCGGCTCCCAGCAATAGCCTTCTCCATGATGCTCCAATAATATACATGTTGTGGGTTTTAAGACCATCATCCATTTCGAGTGGTTTGATATACAATTGAGCACCTTTAACAAGGATACATAAACATTTTTGGTACTGTAGTTAGATAGCTCAAATAGACAAACCACCATTACTGTCATCACTGCAAATAAGATGTCAGGTGATTTTGACTAACTTTACGACAACAACAACTTGCATTTATATAGCACCCCTCACGCCGAGCAGTGTCCCAGAGCGTTTGACAGTGTCGGAGCACCACACCGAGCCAGGGGCACAGTTGAATAGGAAGGTTTTCAGGCGCGACCTGAAGATGGGTTAGGAAGGGACAAGGCGGAGGGACAGAGGAAGAGTGTTCCAGTGGAGGGCATGAGGGATATGCAGAAGGCCGAAGCCAGTCGAGCGGAGGCAGAGGGTTGTGGGTTGGGGGTAAGCAGGTCGGAGAGGTAGGGAGGTGCCAGGGTATGAAGGGATTTGAAAACGAGTGTGAGGATCTTGACATCAATCCATTTGGTGATAAGGAGCCAATGGACTCTGGCTAGTACTAGTGTGATGGCAGTACGACATTTAGTACAGTTGAGTATGCGAGTGGCGGAGTTTTGGATCAGCTGGATCCTGTGTATGGTGCAGCTGGGGAGACCGGCAACGAGGGCAGTATAATATATTTTACATGTTGATGGTTTCCAGTTTCATCAAAGTAGGTGAGCTGGTAGAGATGCGATATAGTATTGATGCTATACGCCATTTATATTTTTTGAAACAGCAAGGGTAAATTACCCATTCAAACTGTAGGCTCAGAATATTTCAATAATTTAATTCAATAATTTAAATCTCATGACTATTCCTACTAGAGCGGGATACTTTGGAATGCACTGTTTAAGAAGGATCTAAAAGAGAATTTAGGAAGAGGGTAGCAAGACTGTGGAACTCGCTGCCTGGAGCCGTGGTTGAAGCAGATAGTGTTGATGCATTTAAAAGGAAGCTATGAGAGAGAAGGGAATAAAAAGGTATGGGAGGTAAGGAGAGTGTGGAGACTCACTGGAACATGAACACCAGCACAGACTGGTTGGACCGAATGGCCCATTTCTGTCTTGCACAATCTATGTAAATCCATGTAGGACTTATTTGTTAGGCCTCTAATTAACATTACAAAAAACAGTCCAATTGAGGAACTGAAACAACATCCAAATGTAGATATTCAAATATTTATAAGACTGGAAATAACCATTGGGTGCCTTCTGGCAATTTTTTTAAATAAAGGTACCACTGAATACAACTCTTGTAAATGTCAAATTAATCACCAGATCAATATCTAAATTTCTTATTGAAACTGCTGATATAATCCACCTCAATGTCCTCCCTGTCACTCCAAGTGACCCGGTAAACAACCCCCCAGATAAAACAAATTGGTCGTTCACTTCATGGCTGTTTGTGGGATCTTGCTGGTGTAATTGGATGCTGCGTTTGCCCACAAAGTCACTACACTCGACAGCCATATCTGGGAAATGCTTTGAGAGGTTGACATTAGGCACTATTAAGATGCATGTTCCATTCTATGTTCATCCATTCCAATGTTATAGGCATCCTTCTTGGTAGCAGGATCATCTAACCACCCACCCTGCTTTCTCCTCTGCATCCTCTTTCTTTCTGACACTACAGTAGTTCTTTTGATGTATTACCAACACTAATAACTATCCCATGTTAAGAACAGGAGTGTTAACAATTAAAGATTTTGCCAGTAATATTGAGAATTAACTTCCTTAGTGGACACAAAGTGTAATAGTAAAGCATCACACTCACCGCCCACATTCTTTTTGTCTGTGATTCTTTGAATAAGCCATTCCTTGGTGTCTTTATGAGTGTCTTTGGCAAGCTCTAGAACCACCAGTGGTGTAAAAGTAAACTCAGCTTCTTGAGACACAGACCCCTTTCTATTCATTGTTACACCACTCTCTGAAACAGATAAAAAGATAATGGCATTACTGAAGGAGGAATGAACTTGTAGCATTTATAGTATATTAAACACAGAAACATATCATTCAGCCCATGAGGTCTACATTGGCCTTTCACTCCACATAAGCCACTTAGTCAAATCTTGTTCACTCCCTATCTACACTTTACCCTCCAGAAAGTGAATACCAGAGTTCAAAAACAGATTTGACTGTTATTTGCACTCCATTATTTTCTACTGAAAACATTTCAGCAGTTTTGGGGTGGTCACTAAATGGGCCTATGGAATACTGAAGAAGGTCTGGGTGGATGCAGAAAAACAAATCATTAAGGCACAATCATCGGTTGAGATATTTTGATGACCGCAACATAATGGATGTCATCTTACATTGCCACTCCCCCCCGCCATAAAATGTAAAAAAGTACATCATAAACCCAATTGATTTTGAAGGCACAAATTACAAGTTCCAAAGGGTAGGGCTATGGTGTCTGGAGGCTTAGCTGTTTATAAAAGAACATTTTTCATCTCATAAGTATACTTATCCCAGCACTATGTACAGGATATCAGGATGAAGAAGAAAAGAATGAAGTGATCTCGCCTCTCCCTTGAGCCCGACTATCACAATCTCCCAAATTAAGGATAATCTTAATGAAAAGACATTTAAAAGGGAGGACCCTACTTGCTGTTCAAACTGCAAAAAGTTCTGATAATTCGTTATTCACAACAGATTCCCAACTGTTGCTTAACATACAACCATCTGAAATTACCTTTCAAGATGTTTAGTAAAAAACATTTATTCATTTCTGTTCAATTCCACCTGATCATATTTGAATTTCTTTATGAATATTAACAAATACAAACACAATGAACTGTTATATTCAAAGACACTTTAAAAATAACATCCAGTACTGGCCGTTAATGCAATTGTGCAAGTTTGAGACGTCAGAATTTTAAACTCAAAATTGCCTGAAACTCCATAAATTGGCTAAACCAGTTGATAATTGCAATCAATCAAAAGTCATGATGTCATTACAATGTCTAATAAGTCTTAAAACAAATGATTTTTTTTAGATAATAGGGTAGATGTCCCTATTATCCTGTAGCTCAGTTGTTAAAGAGCTTGCCTTGCAAGTGAGAGACTTTGGTTCGATTCCCAGCAGGGCAAAACGTTGGGCAAGTTTCCTTAGTCCACACGCCTCTGTTTACCCAGCAGTAAGCAGGAACCCGACTCTTAGTCGATTTGCGGATTGCTTTTCCGGGAGTAATAATTCCTTCAAAAAAAACTACTAATAATAAATTGGTCACTCAATTCCCGACTGTTTGTGGGACACTGCTGTGCACAGTTGGCTGCCACGTTTCACCCACAAAATATAGTCAATTCACTTTACAGCATATTCTGTCAAACGCTTTGATGTCGCGAAGACGTGATAAGGCGCTATATCAAATGCAAGTATTATTATTATTATATCACAACATTGTGGTCACCCTCTATATATATATGTATGTTGACTAAAGTCTTTGATGAATATATACATGAGTTATATTGGAATGTATTAGGCACAGGTTGGCAAGAGCCAAAGCTTGGGGACCCCGAAGTGTGCGGACTTCCTCCTGACATGAAAGGCGCTATACGAATGTAATTTGTTGTTGTTGTTGTTGGGCTACTGCTGGAGTCTAACCAGCTTGCCATTGATATCGCTGTCTGGCAAGCTTCCCCACTTGCAGGGTTAACAGGAGCTGAGTGGGATGACTCCCTGCCAATTCAGCTCAATTCAGTTCAATTCAATTCAGTTAATTCAGCTCCAAGAGACCCCGCTTCCAACAATCTATCTCTTGAATTTCCACATGTAGGTGGGATGCCTAGAATTCTCAGTTTAATTTGGATACTCTTAAACATGATGATGGGTTTCCGTATGTGTTTTTTTATTTTTTTATAGTATGGTTATTTAGCCTAGCCTTTGATTCCTATTCCTTAATATTTTAGGGTTGAATTAGTAATGTATATTGCACCACAGGAATAGAAAGTGTAAATGGAAGAGTGACTTTTTATATAATGTATATATATATATAATTCTTGTATTTGATATAGTGCCTTATCATGTCTTCAAGATGTCTCAAAGCACTTCACAAAATAAATTGTAAAGTGTAGCGACTGTGTATTTTGTGGGCAAAACGCAGCAGCCAATTGCGCTCAGCAGTGTCCCCACAATCATAGTTTGAGTGACCAATTATTATTTTGAAGGAATTATTACCTCAGGGAAGAGATCCAGAATTTTTTACACCAGTAATTAAAATATTAGGGATAAGAAGGTTCATAAAAAGGATAAATTGAGCAACGTGAAATCCAAGCAGGATACCAAATTGCTCCAAGAATTCATGGCTGACAAACAGATATTGGAAAATGTCAATTACAGACCTGGTTTATGTCGATACCAGGCATTGTATTTGTTCACCTACAAATACACAGTCACTACCACATGATTTGCATTTATACAGCACCTTGCACATCAAGAGGGCAACTCAAAGAGCTGATTGGAAACCCTAGCCCGGGGAAGGGAAGAAAATTGACTAAAAGTGCAGCAGAAGAGATGTCAAGGCAAAACCAAACACAAAATACTGCAGATGCTGGAAATCCAAAACAAAATCAGAAGTTGCTGGGAACACTCAGCAGGTCAGGGCAGCATCTACAGAGAAAGGCAAGTGAGTCAACGTTTCGGGTCTACGACCCTTCGACAGAACCATTCTGACCGTCAGATGATTCCCACTGTCAGTCAGTCAGTCTCCACTCCCACTGTCAGTCATTCCCACTGTCAGTCAGTGATTCCCACTGTCAGTCAGTGATTCCCACTGTCAGTCAGTGATTCCCACTGTCAGTCAGTGATTCCCACTGTCAGTCAGTGATTCCCACTGTCAGTCAGTGATTCCCACTGTCAGTCAGTGATTCCCACTGTCAGTGACTGTCGCTCTGCCATCCAGATATAACCAGGTCGGTTTGGTTTGTGTGTGAAAGCTGCCATGTTGTGCTGTGTGAGTGAGTGAGTGAGTGACATACCTGGGCTGAGGGGTTGGCAGCACAGATCACTCTCTCCTCTCCTCTCCTTCCCGGCTTCCCCCGCCCTTGGCAACAGCGGAAACACGTCACACTGGGCGGGGTGCCAGGCCTGGGCGGGTTAGGCGCTGTGTTGGGCGGGTTGGGCGCTGTGTTGGGCGGGTTAGGCGCTGTGTTGGGCGGGTTAGGCGCTGTGTTGGGCGGGTTGGGCGCTGTGTTGGGCGGGTTAGGCGCTGTGTTGGGCGGGTTAGGCGCTGTGTTGGGCGGGTTAGGCGCTGTGTTGGGCGGGTTAGGCGCTGTGTTGGGCGGGTTGGGCGCTGTGTTGGGCGGGTTAGGCGCTGTGTTGGGCGGGTTAGGCGCTGTGTTGGGCGGATTAGGCGCTGTGTTGGGCGGGTTAGGCGCTGTGTTGGGCGGGTTAGGCGCTGTGTTGGGCGGGTTAGGCGCTGTGTTGGGCGGGTTAGGCGCTGTGTTGGGCGGGTCAGGCCAGGCGCTGTGTTGGGCGGGTCAGGTCAGGCGCTGTGTTGGGCGGGTCAGGCCAGGCGCTGTGCGGGGCAGGTCAGGCGCTGTGCGGGGCGGGTCAGGTCAGGCGCTGTGTTGGGCGGGTCAGGCGCTGTGCGGGTCAGGCCAGGCGCTGTGCGGGGCAGGTCAGGCGCTGTGTTGGGCGGGTTAGGTCAGGCGCTGTGCGGGGAGGGTCAGGCGCTGTGCGGGGAGGGTCAGGCGCTGTGCGGGGCGGGTCAGGCGCTGTGCGGGGCAGGTCAGGCGCTGTGCGGGGCAGGTCAGGCGCTGTGCGGGGCGGGTCAGGCCAGGCGCTGTGTTGGGCGGGTCAGGCCAGGCGCTGTGCGGGGCGGGTCAGGCGCTGTGCGGGGCGGGTCAGGCGCTGTGCGGGGCGGGTCAGGTCAGGCGCTGTGTGGGGCGGGTCAGGTCAGGCGCTGTGTTGGGCGGGTCAGGCCAGGCGCTGTGCGGGGCGGGTCAGGCCAGGCGCTGTGTTGGGCGGGTCGGGTCAGGCGCTGTGCGGGGCGGGTCAGGCACTGTGCGGGGAGGGTCAGGCGCTGTGCGGGGCGGGTCAGGCGCTGTGCGGGGCGGGTCAGGCCAGGCGCTGTGCGGGGCGGGTCAGGCGCTGTGCGGGGCGGGTCAGGCGCTGTGCGGGGAGGGTCAGGCGCTGTGCGGGGAGGGTCAGGTCAGGCGTTGGCCGTGGTGGTGTCTGTGATTATTGCCAACACAATGAGGAGCTGATTGTCTGCTGCTCGTGACCGGGGTTTTGCCAGAAATTACACGAGGTTTGTAGCCCAAAGTCAACCAAATACCAGCCCAAAAGTAGCCCAATATCACGTGATTCCTCTCCCAGGGGAGGGGGGCGGCCGGTCACTCCGGGGGGAGGGGGGCGGCCGATCACTCCGGGGGGAGGGGGGCGGCCGGTCACTCCGGGGGGAGAGGTCGACCGGTCACTCCGGGGGATGGGGCGGCCAGTCACTCCGGGGGGAGGGGTCGACCAGTCACTCCGGGGGGAGAGGTCGACCAGTCACTCCGGGGGGAGGGGTCGACCAGTCACTCTGGGGAGGGGGCGGACGGTCACTCCGGGGGAGGGGGGCGGCCGGACAAACATGCCTTCGCTGACCCAAAATAAAATGGTGTCCCAGCATTTTTTTGTTCAGTTTAGTTTCTTATGGGGACTTGTATCGCCCACGTGAGATGTGTGTTAAATAAGTCCAGGAGTGACAGGGAAAAAAAGGGGGAGATGGCGTCATGGGGTAACTTTACAAGGGAGAAAGGGGAGGGAAAGGGGAGGATACCACAGACACAGCGAAGGGTTAGATTTTAATGTGCGAGACAAGAGTTGCAGAGGCAGGTCCAGAGGTTAGAGGCTGAAGCCGGGGCACAACTAACCATGTGGCGGTGGCAAGGTTAGCGATGGTGGGCCAACAGAGAAGGGAGCGGATGCAGAGTCCTCCTCTGCCACAAACACCTCTTTCCCTACAAACCTGTAGCTCAGTGGTTAGAGCACTCGCTTTGCGAGAGACCCGAGTTCAATTCCAGGCAGAGGGCGAAACCTTGGGCAAGTTTCCTTACTCCACACAGAGCCTAATAATAATCCCTCCAAAACAAAAACAATAATAAATTGGTCATTTTCAATCTACGACTGTTTGTGGGACATTGCTGTGCGCAATTTGCTGCCGCGTTCGCCCACAAATATACAGTCAATTCACTTTACAGTGTGTTCTGTGAAGCGCTTTGGGATGTCCTCCCGACATGAAAAGCGCTATATCAAATGCAATGCTATATCAATATTATTATTATTATGATTATTATTACACACGGAGCAATAGGCCCTGGGCCTCTTCGCGCTGTTTGCTCAATGCTGCTGCTGTGGGTGGAGCGGCTCCGGTCACACGAGCGCAGGGAGTGTTGGGATGGCGGGAGTGGCGCGAGCGGGAAATCGGCTTCGCCCGCGGCCTAAGCTGAACCCCTGCACCCAATTCTGGATAAGTTCTGCACGTGCTGTCCTATTCAAATGAACATTTTTAGTATTTTAAACATAACTACATTTTCAGGAAATATACGCTAATAGTTTTAATCCGAGTTATTTCAAAAAATGTGTCTCTCAATAGCACCAACCAACCCTCCGCAATTTTCCGAAAAATTTACCAAAATCTGCCACAATTTCCGTAGAACCCGCCAAATACCCTGCAATTTTTGGCAAATGCTTCTGCACTTTGCTATTGGCCCAGATAATGAGGCAAGGACAACCTTGTTACAGCACAAACAGCAACAACATGCATTTATACAACAGCCTTCACAGTGGATAAATTCTTTCAGAGTTTCACAAGGACGGGATCGGATATTGAAGAAAGGGGAGGTGACCATAGGTGCGAGTGGGATTCGAAGGTGGGATTTAAAGATGGGGTGATGGGGGTTGAGACCGGGGGTTTGGGGAAGTTCCAGAAGTTAGGAGTGTGGTCGCTGATGCTGTGTCAGGAGTAGGCGATGAACAGCAGTCCCCAACAGCCAAGCGGAAGGGGCGAGCAGAACACTGGGTTAGGAGAGGGTTGTGGAGATGGGGAGATGATAGAGCATTAAGGAATTTCTTGATGTGGGTGAACACCTTGAAGTCAATCTGGTGGATTGTGTGAGAGAGGGTAATAATAATAATGATCCTTGCATTTGATAGAGCGCTATACACGTGTTCTAAACGTCCCAAAGTGCTTCACAGAACACACTGTAAAATGAATTGACTATATTTGTGGGCGAACCCGGCAGCCAATTGCGCACAGCAGTGTCCCACGAACAGTCATAGATTGAAAATGACCAATTTATTATTGTTTTGGGTTTTGGAGGGATTATTATTAGATGTGTGGAGTAAGGAAACTTGCCCAAGGTTTCGCCCTCTGCCTGGAATTGAACTCAGGTCTGTCGCTTGCAAAGCGAGTGCTCTAACCACTGAGCTACAGGACTCCTGTACAGATGGCAGAGTTTTGGAATTGTAACTGTCAACACAGAAAAGCAAATGACAGACTAGAATATATAACATTACGCAGGGAGGTTGAGGAGTTTAGATACGTAGGAGTGAAGGCGGTGACGGGAGCCAAGGAGTATGGCTTCCATCTTATCCATATTCACCCGCAGGAAGTTTACCCTTATCCAAGCCCGCATACTTACCTGGACCAAAGCTGTTAAGCACTCTGAGATGTTAGCCTGCATCTGAGGGTGTTGTATGAGTGAAAGTTATTATTGTTTTTGTTGTGGTGATGGGCCTTGCATCACCATGCTTAAAAGTATTCAAGCTGACTAAAACAAAAAAAAATATTTCCCTCTCAAAATACATGTTTACATAGATTGGATGAAATTGCTTGTTTAAGCAGTCCCAGACGTTTAGACATGTTTAAGCAGACCCAGATGCACATTTGCATGTGAAATCCATCTGTCACGTAAGAGAAAAATGTTGGCTACAAATTCTTTTGATTCCTCCTTCAGGATCAGCAAAACAAAAAGCTGCGCAAACTGAAACGGGAAAGTAGAAGGAGGTTAACAAAAACAGCTAAGATAAGAACATCCAGAAAGCATTGGAAAATGCAATTGTTTTTAAATGTATTGGTAAGCGTGTTTTGTTTGGTAACTTTGGTTTATGATATAAGATGTGTTTCTGGACTGTTATTTTTGGGTTGTATCATTGTCATTCTCTTTGTAACTGTCTTCTAGATTGCAGTAACTACACTTTTTGGAATTACTAAAGTAAAAAGTTCTAAAGAATTGAATTCAGTTTGCAGAAATAAAGTTCCACTTCATATACTTGAGAAGAGGGTAAGAACCCCATTTCCTCCTAGTCTTCTGAAACAATTAGAAAGAAACAAGCCGGTTGATAGCCTCAACTGCCCAGCATGGTCTCCTGAGTTGCTCGCAAGTTCACACATCAATAACAGATCCATCTCACCTTGGACATACAGGTAAGAACAACAATTCTAACAAATAGTTTCTTGTATTAAGGCGCAGTTGATACTATGAAAATAATGATCAAGAACTCCAGAATGCTATGCACACTGCTTTGCTTTGTGTAAAAATATCAGCTGGGACATGGAACAAAGGAAGAAGACAGGATAAATGGCACACTCAAAATGTTAATCTAACTAGAATAGTTTGGGGTCAAATCGAGGACGTAGAACCCGAAGACAGAAATAAAGCTTTTTCTCAGACCTTGGCTGAATTACTGTCATTTCTGTTTTTATTTCAGATTTTCAGCATTCAATTTTTTTATTTTCTCAAGGCTGATTGGCTTTGTCCATGACACTGTCTGCTTGAAGGGTGCTATATATGTGCAAGTTGTTCTTGTGGGGGTGGGCTTGTGCAGCTAACAGCCTTGGTTAATTTTTTAAAAAACTCTTTAGCAAGCAATCCACTCACCACTTAAGACGTGTGTATTATGCGCATCATCTGGTGGCACCAAACCAAATGTTCAATCTGGGAAAAATCTTGAAGTAAACCACAGAGGATTTCACAATTCAGCTAGGATGGAGAAATCTTCAAAATTCTTAAAGGATTTTGATTGCCAGATGATCTACTCTGCTTGGAAAATTGA